TTCATGTCCTTCACCAGTGTATTAAATTCCCCTTCTTCATCAAACTCAATAAGGATTAAATACATGCTGACCTCTGCTAAAACACACACTCTGCCTGTAATACTGTACCGTAAATAGTCTGCCATTCTTAATGTTCCAATACATATTGAACATTAATATTGATATTGTTTATCTTATTTCTTATATATTGTATTGTTTATTAACATTTTAGGAACTTTTGTGTGAAATCTTTTTATCTTTTTATCTGTTGCTGCTGTTGCTGCTGATACACTGGAATTTCCCATCCGCGGGACAATAAAGACTGTTTCTATTCTATTCTATTCTATTCTATTCTACTCTACTCTACTCTACTCTATTCTATTCTATTCTATTCTATTCTATTCTATTCTATTCTATTCATCCCTGGTCTGGTTTAATGGCCTTATGTACCACTTTTGTTTTTTTAATTTTTTTAAAGAACAGCTCAATTTCTTTTCTATATATTTTTTATATATATAATTCTTTTAAAGCTAAAAGGCAAAGAGATCTCTTCCTCCTCATCCGTTGACTCCATGACTGAAATTGTAAGAAATTAAGGAATTTGTCACAAGATAATTTTAGGCAATCTGTACTAGAGTTGCATTCGGGCCTAAAAATCTGACACGGCCCGGACCGAACCATATCATTTTTTCCGAGCCCGATCAGAAACTGACCAATTAACGGTGATTACAGATATTATAGTTTTTATAGTTATTAACAGTCGTCGACCGCACGCGTCCGCTGAAGCAGCGGCTGGGTCCAGTTTAGCCACAGGTGGGTCGCTGGCTGTGATCCATCTGTACTTTTTTGTACCTCTTTCAACCGACTGGTCAGCGCACGGTCAAACGGCCACAAGTGGCTAGTGGTCATACAAATTCGATTGTCAGCTACGCGCGTCTGCTGACGCAATCTAAAGCCTGACACTGACCCAGCCCGCTCATCCATCACATTATTTAGGCCTGGCTCAGACTGAATTTTGTTTCGAGGGCCCTGGAAATGACAGCTTACACTTGAGTATGAAGTCTCAACCGTCTGCGGGCAGCACGTGCAGAATCTGTGTGACTCACGGAGTACACACAGTACACATGAGTATGTGTGGGGCCTTCAGAGTTTCGAACATTGCAAGAGTGTGGGAAGGGTTTCTAAAATATATATAAATACTAAAATAAATATATGTTGCTACTTTGTGGAATTTCACTTAACGCAGGTGGGTTTGGAGCCAAACGCCCACAATAAACGAGGGACTATTGTATCACCCTAAATCATAGTAGGGATCTCATCCACCATTTTTGATGTGTCAGAATTAAAACTCTCAAAATTGTTTTATTTTCTTGAGCTCCTTGTGTTCGTCTGCATTCTGGGTCCAGTCCTCCTTCTAATCCTGACAGCATGTATAGTCACAGTTTCTGGCATAATCTCAGGTTGCCAACCATCCGTTCTCCTGTTTATCCCTCCCCTCAGGGACTTCTGGGCAAAGCGTATCCTCCCATCGTTTGGGTAACTTGTCGCCCAACAAGTTGCCTTCTTCATGTGGGTTGTCTTACAATCCGAAGCAGACATTTATCTGGACTCACTAGCATCTGGCACCGCCTCTATCCTAAAGTATTGTTCCTATTCGTATTGATTTTAAGATTCTTTTACTGACCTTAAAAGTTTTAAATGGCTTGGAACTCAGTTACTTAATGGATATTTTGCATTTTTACAACCCAAACAGAACACTGAGATCTTACAGTCGGATGCTTTCAGTGCAGCCAAGGGCAAAATTAAAAGCAGGTGGGACATCGGGCTTTTGCTGTGGAACAATCTGCCCTATGATATTTATTCTGCAGAGTCCATAAAGTCCTTTAAATCCAACATTAAAGAATACTTTTTTTGCTCTGGCCTTTAACTCATGTCTGGTTTGAATTCCATCTGTACATCTGAGGTTGTTATTTTCTTGTTTGTTCTTCGCCTATTTTATTATATTTGTGTTTTTAGTGTTTGATCTTTCATTTATTTTATTGATGATTTCTTAGTTGTGAAGCACTTTGGTCAATGTTGTTGTTTTTAAATGTGCTATTTAAATAAAATTGACATTGACAAAGTACGAGGTCTCTGCATCCTGCTCTGAGGTCTCAACGAGGTTCAACAAGGAACTGTACTCGGAGGTTCTGTGTCCTGATGCCATCACTGTGCAGGTGTTGAACAGATATTCTATCATCATCTGATTTTTACCAGATGATTGAGGAAACAGCCATTTGTCTTTTTAAAAACGTGACACAAATTCTCACCAGTAAAGACCAAGATGGAAATTATTAACATGTAAAATAAATTAAATTCAGAAGCATCTGTACTTATCCTACTAGGCTTCCATAGTTTGCAGACAGGAAATTTCACTTAATGAAATGTGTAAATTGAAATCAGACGGATGTAAAAAAAATAAATAAAGGGGCTACTGCTGAGTGACACGGTTGTTTTACTGTTGGCGTTGCAAACAAACCGTCTCAACACGTTAAACAGTCACCTCTGCTTTTTTCATGATTTAAGATTGTTAGAAGATCAATATGAAGAAAAGAGAAATAAAAATAAAACTTTGATCCTACAATCTGCTTGTTGCTAAAGTGCTTATGCATCTTCCGAGTCTTAATACGATCAAAAACAACCAAACAGCAGGAAACGATGCCCCATGAGACTCTAACCCAAACACTGTGGCCAACACTAACAGAGTGAGCATCCATTCTTCAGCTGGTGGTCAATATCTAATTAAAACACCATACATATGTGTGTGTGTGTGTGTATGTTTGTTAATCAGGGTGTTTGATTAATGATCAATTTGCTCCTCGTTTGACAGGGAGGTTAAAACTATAGGTCACATCAGCTGATATCCCAAAAGGGTTTGTTAGTAACCCCCCCCCCCCGCCCCCCCCCCACACACACATAGATAATTGTAAATTTAGAAAAAGAGAAATATTCATGAATATAAAATCCCAGCTAGGCCTGTTGCGATAAACAATAAATCAATTAATCGCATGATAAATTTAAATTATCAACCTCATTTTCATTTATCAGCTTTATCGTTTCTTCGTGTCTCTCTCTTTCTACTGAAGACACTGGATGACAAAAGGCTCAACTCCGATGCTCTTCACTGACCCCTCCCTTTCTCTTTTTTTTTAAATCTATTTTAACCGTCCAAAATCACATTTTTGGATAGTTAAAAGTAGCTAAGCTGAGAAGCTAAGCTAACAGGCCGACCTCGGGGAAAAAAATCTCTGTCTTATCAAAGCTCCAAAAATAACAGTTGACACCCGTGCCTTCATGTAAAAAGTTGTTTTTCTCTGCGAAAAGAAGCTGACAACTTGTTTACTGATTTGTTTTTAATTAAAAGCTTTATGTGAAAAATGCTATGATAAAGAGCTCAAACCACACTGAGCATCCGTCATTTTGACAACATGAAAAAAAGGAAGGAGAGACAGCCCATGTCACGTCAAGGGGCCTCCCTCCCATTTTTCTTAAAGAGACATGCTGCTCACTCCCTTACCATCCATCCTTGGGTTCAAACAGTCTTATACTGCCATCCAATGGTCAAAAAAGGTACTACACACTAAACTTTTTTTTTTTTTTTTTCCATTTAGCCTTTATTTATACAGGTAGTCTCATTGAGCCATGAGAACTCATTTTCAAGAGAGACCTGTTTAGGGAGCAGATGGGGGTTAAGGGCCTTGCTCATGGGCCCAGGGTGGGGCGAATGAGTGTGGGGACAGGTGTGGGTGCTTCACCTACCCCACCCACATTTTTGATGTTGTCGGTACCGGGGTTTGTACCAGCGATCTTTCGATCACAGGCCAACTTCCTCTAACCTCTGTGCCACCACTCCCCCAATTAAAAATTAACCAACATTTCTTTTTAAATTTGACAGTAATTACTAATTATTGTCAAATTTCAAACAATATTATCATTTATCGCAATAATTTCTGAGACAATTAATAGCCCATCAAAATTTGTTATCATGACAGGCCTAATCTCAGCTGTTACCTTAGTAACATATATTTTTTTCTTACTGCTACAATGTTGCAACATCAGACGAGTATTTAAAAATAATCTGGGGTCATCGGGGTTCATTTCTGTCAGCCATCACTGACCCTCTAAGGCAGGAGTGTCAAACTCACTTACCTTCTTCAAACTAAGGACCAATTTCAGAAACTATACTAACTCAAATCAGATCCCCCAACAGCTTTTCTTGGTCAAAGGTTCCTCAACAAGAGTTTGATTGGTCTCATTTGATGTTCTTTGTTGTGCTTTCGACATCATAATCAAAGATTACTGAAAAAATTAAAGAGATGGAAATATTTTACGTTTCACATATCATCTTGGGCGCCAGAAAAGATGTAAACGAGGGCCACATTTGGCTCCCCGGTCTTGAGATTGACACATGTGCTCTAAGGTAAAACATCCTTTGTGATCACACCCATAACAATTTGAACAGAGCTGAACATCACTAGCACCTAAAATTTACGAGAAATCAAGAGGAAACCAGAGACATTTGAAAGATTTTTCCTTTTTGTAGCTTTACTCTGTTTCCTCATCTTCTCTCCTCCTGGTTTCCTTCTTTCAATATTCATCTTTCCTCTCTGTCATATAGGCTCCATGTTTGTTTCACTGTGTGTGTTCATCTGAATGAATTTTATTTGACAGAACTCTTTGCCTGCTTCTTTAGTAAATAAAGATGGGAGAATGTGGGGCTCGTGATGGAGCACAGACAGCCCCCTACATCCTGCTTCATCTGCTGGGAGGACGGAGACACAAAGCCATCTGTCCTCAGCGCGCCACACACAGACACACTTCCATATGTATGCACAGATTCTTAAGTGGCTTGAATCCACCAACACACTTCTGCAAGGCTGTTAAATTCATAAAAACAGCGCAACAAGCAGATGGTACGACGGCAGAGCAGAAACAAGAGCGTTTTGTCCCGCTAGGATGAAAAAGAGCCATCCCATACACACCTGCCAGAGCACCACACACGTAGACCAGTCCAATCCTCAGGGCGCCGTGGACCATCTCAAGAGGGACGCCCACCAGCAGCTGCATGGCCATGTTCAGGCTCAAATGTTCAATTCTGTGACACACACACACACACACACACACACACACACACACACACACACACACACACACACACACACACACACACACACACACACATGAACTGTTAGGATCAGTGTTTAATAAATTCACATTAAGAAAAGTAACCTGTTTATCTGTTAAATTTACCCAATATATAATTATTTTTATTTAAAAACGTCCCATTGAATTTTGATGAAGCCTTTTCATTGACACAGCATTAAAGGGATAGCTCAGATCTTTTAAAGTGGGGTTTTGTGGAAAGGTTATGAACAACTACAAAGTAATTAGGGATACACAATATTATCAGCACGGTATCGGTATCGGCCGATATTAGCATTAAATTTCAATATCGGACATCGGCCATTCCATTAAATAACTCATCTATACCTGTATAAAAGGTGCCGATTTTGCCTGCAGCGGTAGCACAGCGTGATGACGTTGCAGCGGCAGCGCAACGCGATGACGTCACGTGCGCCTACCCAATCTCACGGCGGAGAGAAAAATTCAAAATGTCGGCAGAGTGGAAGTTTTATTTTTTGTTGGTGAGGATGTCGGATTCTGAAGATTTATGGGCTACGTTGAGCCTCACTACATTTTCTGCAGTCGGAGATGTTTTTCCGACGTAACGTTACCCGAGTTACAAGCCGTCATTTCATTGAGAAGCTAATAGCTGATAGCACGACTTGTTGGGTGAGTTTTACCACAGACATTTGGACGTCCTGTTTGCCCCGTTAGTATGACAAGTCTTACTGCACAATGGATAGAGAAAATCTTTGAACTTAAAAAGGCTGTCCTTCATGCACAATAGTGCAGAGGATCCCACAATGCAGCTAGAAACCTGGAACAAGCCTCCACAAGTGAGACAGCATCACAGGTGACTATTGCTAATAAATAACATTTAACACATTTTATTTAATATAAGTTAAAGTGCTATGAATATCATATGGCTGTTACAGAATATATGTCACCAGCTCTTACAGCTGTTGCACAATTTTTGTAGCAAATAAGCCTAAATAAGAGGGCTATGTTCTGACAAAAGAATGTATATAAAATATCGGTATCGACATCGGTTATTGGCCAAATACGTTTTAACATATCGGCATATTGGATATCGGCCAAAAATCCAATATCGTGCATCCCTACAACTAATAATAGCTCACCTGTAAATAGGTCTTTGAACAACAACAGTTTGGAGAAAAAGAGTTTAATTCTGACTGGACTGACAAGTTAAAGGCTAGTCTGAGTGGGGTCAAGATCAAAGTGGATTGCTGTCGCCTGAAAGTAACGTTAATCTCAAAATTTTATAGTAATTAATTTGAATATTGTGTCCTAAAATCCTGATGCATGCTCAATAATCCAGGTAGAAAAATGTAAAAAAAGTTAAGTCAGGTCCTTAACTTTTTAAAATTGTGCCATAAACCTTTAAATTCCTGGCACATTTTGCCGTATGTCTTCCAGCCAGCACCAGACGTGCTCAGCCTGTTCCTGGTGCTCTCAGGGTTAGCGAAAAACATGACGGTTTATGTAAATAAACATGTAAGATAAAAAGTGATGTAACAGCCTATAAAATTGTGTTTTCACAAACCAACATGATTATTTTAAGGTTGAAGCTGAACATCCCCACTGGTTGACCTTACATGGATCTATACTTCGTTAGCTCATCAGTCCTGCCAGAATTACATTATTTCTATAAACTGTTTGTTCAAAGAATCATCTGGAAATCACAGACATGTATTATGACTAGACACAAGACCAGAAGCTGGAAGTTGAAACCACCATGGATGTGTGCCTTCTGTAGGCGGGCTGCAGTAAAAATGCTGTTTCCCACTCCAAATGGGATGTTTTCTCAACTAAAAGGAAAAAAAAAAATTACGGGTGAAAACCCAAGGATGTAAACTTTCATCAGGACTGGTGTAAAAGATGATTCAATAATAAAAAATAATATGAATTAAAACAAAAATGCTGGTGCGGCAGCAAAAGCACCAAAACATGGAAGACAATCAGACATTGCATAAACTCAAAACGAGTGAACAAGAGTGAGGACCGGGACTGATGAGGTAAGTGGTGACAAGTGAGACTAATGCTAACAGAGAACAGGTGTGAATGGAAGGGGCAGGACTGACTGACGAGAAAGTACTGAGAGTAAATCCACTTCTCCATTGTTAGGAACCACTCATCACTTCGGTTCTATTCAGGGCTTAATTTGTAAACCAGTTGATGCCGGAAAACAAATAGTGGGCAGGCCAGCTGATGGGTCGGGGGTTCCTCCCCCAGTACATTTTGAATAATTTCCTGCATTTTGGTTTGTTTTAATGGGTTTATCTAAGTTTATCTACATTTGTAAACAGTCCACTTCTGTCAAGCATCCTACCCCCCCCACACACACACACACACTTGACAGTTCCGAGTTGACTCTTCTCTGCTGAATTCACTGTCCTGTTGTCAGACCCCAAATGTGAAACCTCCAGGCGCCTCCTTCAACTGCTCATGGCGGCTGCCTGTGGATGACTGCCTGGTTAGCTTGGCACTCACCCCCACCATTTTTCTTTTTTTTTGGGGGGGGGGGGGGGGGGGGGCGATTTTTAAGGGTAGAGGTGGAAATGCTTACTTGAAGAGGCAGCTCGTATGTGACATTAAGAAGTTGTAAGTGCCTGTTGTGTTTAAAATTAGTGTTTATGTAATTGTTTTCAGATCACATATCCAATATAAGTTTTATTCGTTCAAGGCAGTCATGAACTTTATTATTAGTAATCCTGAGAGTTACCGGATCCAAGGAAACAGTTACCGGAACGCACCTTGTCAAAATAAGAGTGTTCCCGGATCCTGTTCCGACAGGATCTGGCACAAATTAAGCCCTAATTCTACTCAAGTGTAGGTGTGTCTCCCCCTCACTCACTGGGTGGGATTGTGGGCAAGCGGTAGCTCTGGTTCCATTGTGATCCTTTATCGTCCAGTAGTTGGGACTTTTTTGTTGTTAATTTGTAATGTCCCTGTTTGTAAGTGTGAGTGTAGTCGTGGGCGGCCAGTTTCTCCGACACCTCCTGGTAAACTCGCTCGTTCCTTGTTGCTCCATTGAGCTCATGCTGTACGCAATCATTTGATAAAATTGATTAAAAGATTTGCACCTTATCATTCAACCACAGTATGACATGTGATTTGCAGCTCTCTGTCTCAGCAACGAACACTCTACAACGATCAGATTGAAAATGGCACTTCAGGAGGACAGTGACGTCACTCCACGGACCAAACCACGGCTGCAGTTTGCTGATGTCTCGCTCAGCTCGGCTCGCTTAGAACCACAACTGAGTCTGTTCCAAAAACCAAGTAGGAGCAGGTGATGGAGACACATTTGACCGATACTGAGTTGATGAAAGCGGAGTAAAGCCACGCCCATGAAGAAGGGGCTTTAAAAAAATACGTGAACACCAGAACACAAGGAAAACGCAGAAAATAAACAATAACAAAAAGAATAAATGAAAAAAGAAAACTAAATCTACCAAAAAAAAAGAAAACAACCACCAATCCTGATTAAAAAACAGTTCTTGTGCTGATTCATGCATATTTTACTTGATCTTTGTTTAAGAAAAATGTATATTTTCTATAATTTTAGTTTTAATGACTTTAATAACTTCTTTGCTTCTTAAGAAAAGTATCACATTACACTGTGATTGACAGTTTCACAGCCTTTTAGTGGGTTTGGGTGAGAAGGTGGGAGTTTTGAGGGTAAGGTCCCACTTCCTGAGCACAGCTGCTTCTAAAAATACAACGTGGTAACATCTAAAAAAAGAGAGAGGATATTTTGGCTTCAATTTAGAACTGGCTGAGATGCTTAGTCCTTCTTTATATATGTTAATGTCTACAACAGGAAATACATTGATTGTTCATATTTCTTCCACAGAACCTTACTACAAATGATCTGAAGAATCATCAAGAAAATAATAATAATAATGACCTCTCTGCTCTGGACCCTATCTTTATCTACAGGCTGCTGCATCGGGCAGAGCTCTGCGTACCCGTGACGGATCCTATTGTCTTCACATGAACACGCTTTTTCAGGAGACTCAACAAAAGCTCCATTTATTGTTTTTATCATGAGAGCACACAGCTGAACATCGCTGCTACATCACTCCGCTGGCACTTGTCTGAAATGCTAATTGCTGATTTGAAAAGAATCTTACAAAGAATCGCAAACAATTGATGTGGATGTTAGAAGGTTTTTCCGAGGTTAGCGAGGTTCAAGAGAGGCTGAAGAAGGGAGAAAGAAACTCTGTCCTGCTGCAGAAGCTCGCTACTTTTTCAACACCTGTTCGGTAACTGGAAGAGATCTTTATTAGCTTGCTGCTTAACGGTTAGGTGGCACGGTGACTGTTAGTAGAGCTGCTGCCTCTCATTGAGAAGATCATAGTTTCCTCTGGGTACTCCAATTTCCTCCCACAGACCAAAAACATGCATGTTAGGCTGATTGGTAAATTGTCCCTAGGTGTGAGAGAGACAGTGAATGGTTGTTTGTCTCATTTGCCTCTATGTGTCCATGTGATGGACTGGAGACCTGTCCAGGGTGTCCCCCGCCTCTCACATAGTGACTGCTGGACATGGGCACCATGACCCAAAAAGGAAGAAGCAGGTAAAGATGATGGATGCATGGATGAATAGATGTATGGATGGATGCTTAAAGGTGCTGATATGATTTTGTCATATTCTTTAAATGCCTTTTCAAACTCCAATAAACAATAGAGAAAGACTTTCCCAAAGTCAGGAAAAACAGAGAACTTTTTTTGTCCTCTATTAATCCCCAATGAAGTCATCAATTCTCTGAATTTTTCCCACTGCACATGTGAGCACACATGTGAAGCAGTGGGCTGCCATCTAAAAGCACCCGGGGAGCAGCTGGGGTGGGGGGTTTAAGGGCCTGGATCATACCATACCATTTTATTTATAGAGCACTTAAAACAGCGACAAGGCCAACCAAAGTGCTGTACAGGCAGAAAAACAGGCAACATACAAAGCAACATACAAAATGAAGTAAATCAGAATATAGACATAAATCATCATGAGCCCAGAGTGGGGAAAATGAGGGTGGAGGCAGATGTGGATGTTTCACCTTTTCCTCCCACATTTTTGATGTTGTCTGTCTGAGGAGATGAACCACGGAGTTGACCGGTGACCCTCTGATCACAGGCCCACCCTCTCTAACCTCTGCACCACACCTACCCTCAACCCAACTTAAAGTCCCACGGAGCACAAACACAAGTTTCTTTGCTGTTGTTTTATGATCTACAACAAGTTTTAGACACCTATAATGATTTTACACAAGAAATTAATTCCCTTTTCTTTAACCAAATAATCCTCACTAACTTCTGAGTACCTGAGCTTACTTCTCAAATGTGAAGAAACCTGAACACAAAAGCAGGAAAAATCTAATAGTTATTACAAACATATATAGGTCTGAAGCTAACAATATTAGCATTGCTAAGCTGTGATCAACAAATTAGACCAGGTATTCATCTCAGTTCTTTTCTGTGAAATTGTTGTTGGAGTATGAAAACTGCACGTTGCGAGACTTTTCCATGTTTGTGTTTAGTGAAGATACACTGAAGTGAACAAACAAACCTGGTCTTTAACGTCAAACTGTTTTTGGTGCTTTTCTTCTATCAAAGTCTCTGTCTGACTTAGAGCTCTAATATTATATTTCTTATTTACAATTGTTAAATTAACAAGGACAACAAAAGCAATGTTTACCTGTTAGCCCTCAAAATGTGTGCTGGGAGATGACTCTCAGCTACTACCACAACAAATTATAGCTCAGCATCGGTAACACTGACTGAGTTAAAGCCGTTTCAATGTTGGACTGTGGCTGCCATCTTGAATCAGTTGTAGATGTATATACAGTTATTATTTTCTGGGAATGTCATGAAAATCCATCCACGGGGTTCATGAAATATTTAGCTAAAAGAACTAATGTGCATACGAATGGACAAACAATGTATTTTTTTTTTAATTATTATTATTAGGTGATTGCACAGTCGTCCATCTTTCATGGCGGAGGGTTACTTTTAAAACTTACAAGCTATATTTGTCAAAAAGGTGTTGGCCAGCATTTGCACTATGCTTAAAAAAATTCTAGACCTCGAGCAAAGTTTGTTCTGGCACCGTGTTCACGCCATATTTTAAAATGTAATCCATAACCTAGTCTGAACTACTGATACTTTTGTAGTGGGAGGATTAAATTTATCGAAGAACACTGAAAAAGTTAATCACATTCATTCAGGGAGGATTTCCCAAAGTTAACAAAATCCATGCTCAATATTTCAGGTATACATTCCAACATTTTCCAGTCCGGTCATCTGGACAGTTTCTTTTTTTTTTTTTTTTGCTGAAACGTTTCACCTTCCATCCAGAAGGCTTCATCAGTCAATGAAAAATCAGTCAGACTGAAAAATGTTGGATTGTATACCTGGATTATTGAGCATGGACTTTGTTGCTTTGAACCAGTTTGGCATGACTATCGACGAGGAAGAGGGCTGGCAATGGAGGAGGGAGAGTGCCAAAGACACCATCTTAGCACCAACATAACTGGTTTGTTCCACTTTGGAGTAAGCTGTTGGGGGAAGAATCAGTTTTGTGTTGTGTGTTTCCCTGACTGATGAAGCTTTCTGGATGGAAGGTGAAACGTTTCAGCAAAAAAAGAAACTGTCCAGATGACCTGACTGAAAATTGTTGGATTTCCCAAAGTTGTTCATTCCCAGAGTCGATTTTTTCCTAAAGCCCCACTTCCATAAAAGTCCAAACCCTTTGGAGCGTCCTTCTGTCACGTTATTGTTTGTTGCTGTCAAAACAAAAAAACAGATTGTGACATCTCCTTTTCTTCCTGGTCCCTTAAAGTTGAACTTTTTACCATACCCTGCCAGCCTTAATACCATCACAAGCTGCAGGTTCTCTGAAGTAAATGACCATTTGTTCACTTCTTTGTATTGCTGTACTAAATTACCCATAGAGTAATTAAATCTGTTTGACCTGGATTGAACTGATAAACACACATTTCTCTGCTCGCAGAAAAGAAGAGAATATCCAGTGGGATTGATCCTGTTTTTAATTATGATATAATATATATTGAATTATAGTGACAGCAGCATCAAAGCGTATGCACATGACACCACTAATCCAAGAATAATCACTTCTTTGGGACATTAACACAACAGCTATCCCAGACGATAACTGAACTTTTGCTGGTTTGTTATGAAATTTCTCACGTAGTGACAATTATTAGCTGTAGCGTAACATAATTGCTTACTTGCCTCATTTGTTATCTCATTTGTTATCGTCTTTGTTGTTTGGTTTGTAATGTGGAAAAATAACAACTGTGTGTTTGTCTAAATGAAAATTTTATGCAACAAGCTTTCATCAGTTTTAGATTTCCAAATCACATAGACCTACATCACCCCAGAGAGAGCAGAAATGTTTGGACACATTGACCAGTACCAGAGTTTGACAATGCATTTCTGTCACCACCGCAATGTCTCAGTCAACGCCTAATTTCTAATCCTTTGAGATAAACATACATTAAAACAAATCTAAATTTAAAAGGCAAAAGTCGAGCCAAAAACTGTTACGCAAAATTATTTTTTGATTACAAAAGTAAAAATGAAAAAGAAACACTCACCCAGTGTGCATGAACACGTAGCTGAAGTACCTCCAGGCCTGGGCTCGGAGCTGGGGGTGGTATGGTAGGGGGCTCTTTAGGAAGGATGGGCTGGACACCTGCAGGACTAAGCGATCCAGCTGGATTCCATAATACATGAACACTGCTACCTGGCAGAGCACAACAAACACCGGGGACTTAGAGGAATAATTGTATGATTTATGCATCCCAACAAATATGACATTAACATGGATTACTTTTGTAAATAGATGAAAGATGAGCACAACCCTTATTTATTAGGCTAACTTGTGTATTGTATTACAGAAACCAATCCATATGCATTGAAGCACCCTTAGTCTTTTTTTGCCTGTTAGTCTGGTTTGTAACAATTTTTGGTTCACATGTTGTCCCTCATATACTTGAAGATTATTATGTCTGAAATAATTGTTTGAAAAAAGGGGCAGATATAATAAGATTTTTTCTTCTTTCTGCTGCCTTTCATTTTAAATCTTTTGTATCTTTTTTATATTGTTATGGAATTGTTTTGTACTTTTTTAAAATGAATAAACTATATACCAATACCAATACCAATACCAAAATGTGCAGCTGGATTCATAATAGTTTGCTATAACTTTTGGTAAAAGTATACTGTAAGAAGTAGACAAAATAAAATAAAAAAGCATTGGGAAATTTTCTCCATAGACAGCAACTGGATCTTGTTGAAACAAGTGAGAAAACACGGTGCTCTCTACAGTTCAGACATCCTTCATGGGAGAAACATTCAAAGTTTAAACTGCTATGGAATAATTAGACTTACCTGAATGAACTGAAATTTAATTTTCATCCAAAAAATAAGTTAAAAACAAAACAATTGGACTTCTATTCTGAATCAAAAGATGTTATGCTTCCAATCTGGGAGGTTTTCATCCATTCAACCTTTATTTATACAGGTTAGTCTCATTGAGTCATGAGGACTTGTTTTCAAGAGAGCCCTGTTTTAGACAAATTACAGATAAGGTACACCCAACAATAAACTGACATAAAATGCATATAAAACTAGAGAATTTGCATTTCCTGCAAAAATGCAAGTGTGCATGCTTCTTGCTTAAGAATTACAAGAAAACAGCTGAAAAGTAGCTTAAAACAGCAGAAAGAAGCTTCAAATATCAGAAGGAAGCAGAAAGTGCACAATTGTTCCTAATGTAATGGACTGCCAGGCTGCTGCCAATGTAAACTATTGATGTGACAGTACTATGTGTTTGTTCTCAGCTAGCATTTTACCAAATTTCAGCTGAATAACTCAAAAAATGCCTGAGTTATCGTATTTTTTCTTTTTCAGCTAAGGCGGCCATCTTGGATTTTCGAGTTGGATGCAGTATGGGATAGGGAACGTTCTCAGCTATACCCTCACCAAATTTCAGCTCTGTATGTGTAAAAATGGCTGAGTTAAATCCATTCAAAAGTAGGATTGGCAGACATCTTGGATTTTTGATTTTCATGCGGCACTTGATGGGAAACATTGTCAGCTATCATCACACCAACTTTCAGCTCAATATGACTAAAATTGGCTGATTTCTGGTATTTTTCCTTTTTTGGCTAAGGCGGCCATCTTGAATTTTTGATTTTCAGTCAGAGTCTATTAGGGATCGTTGTCAGCTACCAATATGCCAAATTTCAGCTGAATAACTCAAAAAATGGCAGAGTTATCCTAGTTTTTCTATAAAACAGCTGAATTCAATTCAATTCAATAATACTTTATTAATCCCAAAGGGAAATTAATTTGTTGTTGTAACTCGTTATCCTCATTTCATTAAGAGATGTTATAGATGCTGATGGCTCTTGTAAAGGTCCATCCCTCAGTGGATCCTAAGAAACTGGCTGCAGATGCTGTCCGATCCGTCCACCCAGACGCCGCTGGCCTCTCGGTTCCCCTGGACTGTAGGACAGTCTGAATGCTGGGCAGAACTCCTCCCAGAGCGATGGCCACTCCTCCCAGCAGTCTGCCAAGCTCCTCATAGCTGCGGACAGCCAACTGTAGGTGCTGAGGGACGATCCTGTCCTTCCGCTGTCATGAGCCGTGTTTCCTGCTAGTTCCAGGATCTCAGTGGTCAGGCACTCTAGCACAGTTGGCAGGTAGATGAGAATGCGTCCACATAACATCCTTTTCAACTCATTTGAGAGTTGGGACCATAGTTGAGATATTATTTGAGCTTTTGAGATGTTAATCAGCTGCTGTTGTAGAAAACTGCCTTGTTGCCATGGTTACGCATCATAACAAATATCCAAAGCCAAAAAAGTCTCAGTAAAAATCCTCCCAGCTGCACAGCGTCCGATACCAGAGGAAACAATCATCCAAAAAATATGATTTACATCCAGAAAACCAGGAATTAAAGTTTCCAAAAGCAAAATCTCAGAATGAAAGTAACAGAGCTGCTCCAACATGCAGCCACCTTGAGCGGCGCAATTCTAGAACAGTAGAATAGTAGCTAACGAAATCTAGAAAGAAGCTTAAATTTCCAAAAGGAAGTGGAGGGTGCTTCACTGTGTCCAGTAAGGCTGAAATATGCATAAATTAGCACAATAAAGTTGAAATTATCTGAGAAAAGCTAAAATTTTATAAAAACAGCTGAATAGTAGCTAAAACAAGCAGAAAGAAGCTTGAATTATTAGAAGAAAGTCGGGGGAGCATGTTTTCAGATTTAGGCAAAAAAAAAGTTTAAATGATTGCAAAAAACATGGAATTAGCTGAAAAAGATGAAATTAGCATAAAAACAGCTAAATGCTAGCTGAAATAGCAGAAATAGCTGAAACTTGCAAAAATAAGCTGAAATGAGCAGACCAAGCTGAAATTAGCATTAATAAGTTTGAAGTTAAACAAAATAAAATCAAGCTACATTATAAAACAAGGTAAGGTCTATTTCTGAAAAAGAAACCCAGTTTTATTTTCAGTTTCTTTATCAAGCGTTTGACATGCGGCTTAAAAGAGAGATGTGCATCGACCAGGAAGTGAAGATAACCAGGAAGATGATGCTTTGAATTGATAAAGCCTCCCAGACAGGAAGTGAAACGTTTTCAGCTACAGAATATAAGTTCAACTGTTTATTTTTTTTTTTTACTGTTTTTATTGACCATGACTGGATGACTGAGAATCTCCACCAGCAGTTTATTTTTGATTTTTGAAGAATTTATCACAAAACATTCAACTTACAGTACGACGTCACACACCAGGTTTTAAATTGTGTGTTATCTTTCTGTCTAAAGTTTGTGCAAACTCTTTCTGTTTCCACACTTTACATTTGGTTTACGTTAAAATGTAGACATTTTGTTGTATAACCAATTCATCTGAACGTTGGATTTTAAACTGAGAAGCAAAGAGGCTTTGTAGACAATCTTATATCCTACATATAACACTAGAGGCACAAAAACATTTTCATGTGATAGTCAGACCCCTCTTCCACTTACGATTCAAGAATTCTTTCAATTTAATTTATTTTTCTTACCCAGTGACTGTTTGTTTGAGGGTTCATCTGTACTTTGCATTTCTGTCTGTCTTTGATTAGGAATTCAATAACGGAGTGGGAGATATAAGTGAGTGGTTACCATTGTGACCTTAATAAGCCACTGGCAGCATGTTTTTTATCTTTGTTCTTTTTAAACGTTTTCTACAGTTTACATCAAAATGGCTACATTTTTATTTGGCGTTATCTTAACATGCGTGTCCCGCTGGCTCCACTGATGTTTCATTTATAGTAAGGTCAAACTAAAAAAAAAAATCAGTTCACACTATTTTGATAAACATTTGTTTGTTCATACCTCCATAACACCACTACAATTTAAAACTCATATTTACAATTTTTATTTAAAAAAAGGACTGATGAACACTTAATGGTTTTCTCATCTTAAACAACTTACCTCAGCAATAGTGATGGCCAAGATGAGCCAGGGAGGGGGGCAGTAGGTGTAGCTGTCAAAGTACCACTTGCGGTCGACCTCACGGGGCAAAGTTTCGTAGGCAACGTGACGAACTAACCGCTGGGGCAGCCCCAAGCCGACCTCATCTCTGAGACTGCAGCCTTTTGGCTGCCTGCTCCCCTGCAGAATGGCCCTCCTGAAACTGTTGGAGCGCTTGTTGCTCATCTGCACAAAGGAAAAGATGAAAACCATGGAGGAGACGGGCGAAGAGAGAGGGAAAACAGAAGGACAGGAGATGAAGGAGAATATATCATTTAGCACTAAATACACTTCTGGAATTTCAAACGTACTTCAGTTCCCTTCATCAACACACAGCCTTTACCTCATTGTGACTTTGGAACACCTGCAGCATCATTTTACAACCAGCATACTTTTAAAAAGTACAGTACAGTAGTCCCTCACTTGTCGCGAGAGTTACATTCAAGACACCCCCGCAATAGGTGTAAATGAAAATTGCAGTGAAAATTTGCAAAGTAGGGACGTTATATTTATTTTAGTATTTATATGTATTTTAAGGCTTTATAAACCTTTCCCACACTTTTGCAATGTTCTTAACAATGTTCTAAACTCTCTAAACACTCTAAAAGATCATAGCGAAAGAAAGCAGACAGTCTGATGCTATGGTTATTGAGCCAATCGCCAGGGCAGACTGGCCATCGAGAGCACTGGGACATTTTCCGGTGGCCTGGCCTGCTCAATGATCACTGAGGGGGATCAAAGGCTTGGTTCCAGCTGCACTTGATTATTTTAAATAAACAATCCATACCGCTCCCTCAGGTGTCCGTCTCACTGTAGCTTCATGAGCAGTAGCGATGGGGAAAGACAGACCTGACCCCTCCTTTCTCTTTCTGAGTCTGTCTGTCATAGCAGAGCAGAGACACACAACAGGTTGTGCGCCCGCCTGTTGTGTGTCTCTGCTCTAATGTGACAAATAGCCTCAGAAAGAGAAAGGAGGGGGTCCCTCGGCAATCACTGAGTGGGCCAGGACACTGGGCAATGTTCCGGTGCTCCCGATGGCCAGTCTGCCCCTCAGCACAATGCTCTGGTTGGTCGCCTTCCATCAATCAGCCAACCGTGTGTCGTGTACAATCTTATGTTGAAAATCCATGAAAGAATGAGTCCGCAAAAGTTGAACCACAAAATATCGAGGGACTAATGTACCTCTGTTTCTGAAACAGAATTATCTTACTAGGAGCAACTTGTGGACCAGTTTTTGTTGGGCAACATTTCCCCACCCAGTTCGTCATTCAGAAACAGCTTAAAGGAACAATCATATTTAACTTTCAGTGAAATAATCAGTTATCCATCGTATTCATTAAGAATCATTTCATCTATTGAGTGAATGTTGCCCAATCTCTTTGATATCTCTTTGGGGCTCTTTTTATTGCGCCGCTCAAGGTGGCTGCATGTTGGAGCAGCTCTATTACTTTCATTTTGAGATTTTGCTTTTGGAAACTTTAATTCCTCGTTTTCTGGATGTAAATCACATTTTTTTGGATGATTGTTTCCTCTGGTATCAGATGCTGTGCAGCTGGAAGGATTTTTACTGAAATTTTTTAGTTTTGGACATATGTTATGATGCGTAACCATGGCAACAAGGCAGTTTTCTACAACCAACAGCAGCTGATTAACATCTCAAAAGCTCCTACAATATCTCAACTACAGCCCCAAATCTCAAGTGAGTTGAAAAGGATGTTCTGTGGACGCATTCTCATCTACTTGCCAGCTGTGCTCGAGTGCCTGATCACTGAGATCCTGGAACTAGCAGGAAACATGGCTCATGACAGTGGAAGGACAGGATCGTCCCTCGGCACCTACAGTTGGCGGTCCACAGTGATGAGGAGCTCAGCAAACTGCTGGGAGGAGTGGCCATCGCTCTGGGAGGAGTTCTGCCCAGCATTTGAGCGGTCCTACAGCCCAAGGCGAACCGAGAGGCCAGCCGAGTCTGGGTGGACGGATCAGACGGCATCTGCAGCCAGTTTCTTAGGATCCATTGTGGGATGGACCTTTACAAGAGATCCTTCCTGCCTACAGCCATCTGCATCTATAACATCTCTTAATGAAATGAGGATCACGAGTTACAACAACAAATAATTTCTCTTTGGGATTAATAAAGTTTTTTTTTTTTTTTGAAGAACGTGCCAAACATTTAATGTTGAAGGACAAGTTAATGGAGAAAATGGGAGATAAGTGTTTCATTATCGCTTTCTTGTTTCCATTTGTGGCTTATGTCTTGATAAAACAAATCATTTGCAACATTATTTACAATTATTTTTAATTATTTTTGTAACTCAAAGAAATAATGAAAGCCTCACCAACCTTTTGTCAAACCAGGTTTCACTTGGAAGTTTCTACACACCTATAACCAACATGAATGTCGTGGCAATGTGAAGTTGACAATGACTTAATTCAAATGAGATTTTCTCTGAAATAACATATTTGTACAAGAGATTTCTTTAATAATAAAAAAGAAGAATTTAATTAATACTTTTTAGTGTATAACATTTTAAGTTCACTAACTTTTTGTCCAATAAGTTAACTTGTCACACTACAATTAAAAAGACTAGTTTAATTCAAATTTTTACTTTCTCTTTGGTCAGGTTTATGGTAACAGAGTTACTGGGTTAGGATTAGGAATCAGAATTACTTGTTTAATGTTTGAAAAAGACTGGTTTGAGCTACAACACAAACTTGAACTATGTTTATGTCACTTCATGAGACATTATTTAGTCTGCTGCCTAGCTTGCAATTTCACAAGCATTTGTTCAAGTCATGCGTTGAGATGGGAAGGACCTAGGCATGGGCAAACAAGACATATGTAAGAGTAAACATAAGGTGCTGCCATGTCAAGGTAGATCCAAAAACTAAGAACATTCTCTGGAAAAAAAAAAAGGATGGGTTAGATGAGTAAACCAAATCAAAACCAAACCCCAACCATTATGATACTCCCTCTCAAAGAGACAGTTCCTGATGTCTCACAACAAACAAAATGTCCATCCTAACTGGGTGAAAGGAGGCCTAGAAGGAAGGACCAGTGACTAAAAGGACAGCTCAATTCATCAGCCCAGGGGCTACCCTGACAGATGTGACAGTTCTGGCGGTTGCCATGGAAGAACCCCTTTGATGACTGGAGCAGATAGAGAGATATCCAGCAAGACCCCATCAAAAGCAAGTGAAGAAACAGGAGAGGGTGAATCATGAGAACCCCTTTGATGGTTGAAGCAGCAACAGAGAGGCCCCTTGACAGCTTGAAAAGGAGGTAAGACAGTAGAACCTCCTTGGTGCCTTGCACCGAAGCATTGCATATCCCTCAGCAACCGGAGAAGGCAGACAGGCATCCGGCAAAATCCACTTATGGCAGGAGCAGACACTGTACAAGTCAGACCCATTAAGAACAACCAGAGAGACATCCATTAAGATCACCTCAATGGCTGGAACAGGTAGAGAGGCTCCTGGTGAGGTGTGGTGGTATACAACAGAACTGAGCTGTAAGAGAGTCCTCAAGGACCCCTTGATGCATGAAGCAGGAACTGGCAAGAAAGAACCCAGAAAAGGAGCAGGCAGCCTCCTGTTGGACCTCCTGTCTACCAGATGTGGTTGAGGGGCATTGCCTTGGAACAGAGGCTTTCTAGGCCCAGTTAACAACTAATGCAGTAACAGGTAGAAAAGTGTCTTGCTGGATCTTCTGCGCAGCTGGTTTTAAAACAAGCAGAGGTGAGTTGAGGGCAGGTGGACATGGAGGTAGATCAGCCCAGACACCCTTACTGGGAGCAATGGGAGCCAGCAGAGGCAGGGCATTTCAGGTCCTCTAGATGACACAAACAGGACCTGGCAGAGGTGGGCTTTCCTAGACCCTCTTAGCAACAGGGGCAGATCCTTTGGCTTGGACAGAGATTTGGTCAAAGTAAAAGCTTTTAACTAAACATTAGGTTTGGTGTATTACACTTTTTAGCTGCTATTGTACTCTGAAAGCCAACAAAAAATAAAAAGTAATAAAAGATGCCTGTGGTGCAAACTTTGACCTTCTGAGAACAAAAAATGTTCCTTTAAGATAAAAAAAAAAAAAAAAAAAAAATTAAAATCAAGTCAATCAAACATACTAAACTTTGGAATAGAAGGGTACACAACCATCAACCACCTTCACATCTATGAATAAAATCTTGTATTGAATTTATTCAGGACATGATAAGCAAAGATGTCTCTGATCAATTAAAGCTAATGAAGACTGAAATTGTGTTCCTAATTTTAAAACGGGTTGATAAATTAGTTTCACCATTCAGTAAATTAATCATGAACCAAATGAACCATTCAGCTATAGGCACAAAAATATGTTTTTTTTCCACCTTCGGCCAGTACCTCAGTAACCATGCAACAGGCACTTTGTACAAGCAAGAATAATAAGATATGTAAGCTGCTAGTGTGGGAGGCAGCTTATATTTATGATCAGGAACATGAGCCTTATGGACTATGCTCGTTCAGAAAAAAACTGTATGAAAAAAGACAGTATATGTACAAATGTAGATGAGTATTTCTAACAAAAAGTAAAATAAAGAAATGGTAAAGAGCCATCATAATACACAACAGATTTAGTCCTTAATGGACAGTTTATGCCACTAAGAACGAAATGATCTAAGAAACTCATGGTCATCTTATCACCTGATACAAAAACCCCTCTAAATAATTTATTGTTGCACAATAAATAAATGTATCCCTCCTAGATTTCTGCTTTGATCAGCACAGTCTGAAACCTTTGGGCAATTTATTACTTTTGCTGAGCACTTAATAAAATTCTGCCTGACAATGCAAATACATCCATCTCACCTTTTTCCTCATAGTCCTCCTCAATGTTTCACTATGTCTCTTTCTAGCACCTTCACTATTCTTCCTCTTTACTTTACTCTGCCGATGTGACAATCCAGTGCTACTTCTGTGTCACTGCAGCTGCGAGAGGTTCAGATGTGATGTTAGATGATTAACAAGACACCTAAATGCATATTTGTAGAGTTACAGTTAAAAGTGCTGTACGGCAAAATGATAAATAGAAAAATAAAAACCTACAAATTGATTTGATGTTAAATTGAATGATGTTCACTACAGCTTCAGCTGAGCCTTTAAAACTACAACAATCATCCAACCCCTTCAGCTTTTAACTAAATGACTTTTTT